TTCCTTCCTTCCTTCCTTCCTTCCTTCCTTCCTTCCTTCCTTCCTTCCTTTCTTCCTTCTTTCTTTCCTTTTTTCCTTCCTTTCTTTCTCTTTTCCTTTTGGACATCAACCTACATTTACTTTTACTATATAAAATGCAAAACTTTTACTATAAATTTTTAATAACTTGGAGAAAAAAAATGATGTTCGGGAATTTTCCAGAAATGATAAGCTACAACTATTTCACTTGGGAAGCCACAGCGTGTTCCTGTTTAAAAAAATTCATAACAAAACATATCATATTTACATAAAACCATGTTCCAAAGAGAAAATGTTAGAGCAGTTGATGTGATGTTGTCACTTAGAGAAGAGGGACTGGGCAGCCAGGGATTTCTCAACACCATAAGAAAAAGCAAAGCAGAGAAGTGCAGGTTCTTCAAAGGACCAAGGCAAAACCAAACCTTGCTCACATGCGCCTCCTAAAAAAATAATCTCACAGAAATGAACGTGGAATGAGAAAAGTTTCAAGTAACGAAAAACCAGACAGCTGGGTATGGTGACTCAGGTCTGTAATCTGAGTACCTGGGAGACTGAGGCAGGAGGATTGCCATACGTTCAAAGTCATCTAGGCTACATAGTGAGAGCCTACTTAATAAATAAATAAATAAATAAATAAATAAATAAATAAAGCATTCCAGTGAGCAGACTAAAAACTCTTTTGGTTAAAAGTGAATATGGACTGGGGTGCAGCTCAGAGATGCTGACCTTGCCTAGCATGCATGAAGCACTACAGGAAAGGCAGGGAATGTCAATACGGAAGGAATTTCCTTTAAGAACTTTAAAGGCCCACTCTCTTTGCTATTTACAAGATAAACACTAGAACATGGAAAGCAAAGAGAAAGCTGAGGGTGTAGCTCTGTGGACGAGTATGTGGCTAGAATGTATGAGACCTTGTGTTTCATAGCCAGCGCTACCAAAGTGGGGGGGGGAGGAAGGAAAGAAGGGAGGGAGGAAGGAAGGAAGGAAGGAAGGAAGGAAGGAAGACAGAGTGAGAAATGTACTCACTGAAAGCTGGCTTACCTATATTAATATCTGGCAAAAACTCATGGCAATGGCTCTCAACCGTCATGATGCTACGACCCTTTAATACAGTTCCTCATGTTGTGGTGACCATAAAATTATTGTAATCGCTACTATATAACTGTACTTTTGCTACTGTTATGAATCCTAATGTAAATATCTGATCTGTGACCCCTGTGAGAGGGTTGTTCAACTCCCAAATGGGCCACAACTCACAGGTTGGGAACCCCTGCTTTATGGAAATAAATGGAGCACTGTATGACCATTTCTTTTTCTTAAAGACACACAAACATCTAAAGTCTTATATAACTAATAATATTGCTATAAACGATATAAAGTTTTTAAAAAGACAGAATGGCATAACAAATTAAATAGTAGTAACAATTTCTCTCATACCAGTTAATTGACACAATTGACAATTAATTTCATTGATTGACATAACAGCTATCCAAAATATTCAAACACCATAGGCTTCAAACTGATTGCATATAAACACAGTCTTTGCTCACGTAGATTACTCTTAACAAAACCTGGAACATGTTAAGCGTACACCACCTCTACAATTATGTTCTAATATGTTGAAATCAGTTCTCCACTAATCAAGTTATCTAAGCACAAAACAATTAAACTACATGTCAGTTGTTTTCAGGATGAACATAGAAGCGTTGAGAAAAAGTGAGAAAGAACTCACAAGAGTGGGAAGGCCTCCAAGGAATAAATACCTCCCATCTCAAATCTTTAAGATCAATTTACGGGGTGCCTTCAAACATTAAAAGCCTGGGTGGTGATTAGGTCTACTCTTGTGTATGCTTATGACTCTGAACAGTGCTTTTCCACCATGCTAAAACATTCTGCCAGCTGTCCTCATTTCAGACTAAGATTTTTTTTGTCACATCAAACACCGAGTTCCAAATCAGCTTTCAGAACAGCCTAGGTCATCAGAGACACCCCTTTGCTCAGCAAAGGGTAACAGCCTTCTCGGTAACAGCCCTTGTACTAGAAATTCAAAGGCCACAATTTGAGGGATGAGGCTGACAGAGGTGCCTAGCATTCTCTTTCCACACTTCATTATGTGGGAGTCATAAAAAAAAATGAGGCTTTCAGGGGACTGGAGAGATGTCTCGGTGGTTTAGAGGTTTAGAGCACTTGACTACTCTTCCAGAGGTCCTGAGTTCAAGTCCCAACAACCACATGGTGGCTCACAACCATCTGTAATGGAATCAGATTCCTTCTTCTGGTGTATATATAAAGTACATGAATAAATAAAATTAAATAAAAAAACGAGGCTTCCACACCCACCGTGGCCCCACCTTGTCCTACCAGTCTTAAAGATAGCAAAGAGAGTGAAAGCAGAGGCTGATGATGCTGGCTTCATTTCTTATTTCATATTCCTTGGACACTGAGGGTAGGTGCACAGTGGGTTTTTAATAAATACTTGTTTGAATGGAAAGAATGGGTTGTCCAGAACAAGATGAAAGGGGACCTTGGTGCACTTACAACTCACCTGAGAGACACTGTTGGTTGCCTTGGAGACCAAGGAGGATGTCAACTCCCCTGCATCCTCTCAAACCCACATCAAGCCCTTTCTTCCTGCCGTGGGGCACCTGACCCAATTAGCTCCACTTTGTGTACCCTCCTTCAAGCCCACACTGGATCTCCAGTTAGTCCGGAAGGAGGAGGAATGCTGTCACCTCTGAGCACCTGTCCTCTACTAGGTCGGATTTAGCCATTTCTGAAAAGTGTCCAGGGAACTTTTCAAAAATGCCCCCTGGAGACTAGGTGACATTTCTACATCCGTCACTATGCCCCACAACCATCTCATCAACATTTCAAGACTAATGCTGGCAATATTCCCTCTCTACCTAAACCCACAGCCTATTTCAAATGAGATTTATCGCTTGTCAAACCGAGAAAATAAAGTGCCCTTTTATTGCTGCTTAAGTCTTTGCCTGGATCAGGAAGCCATAAACCTTCCTGTTTGTATTGACTAAAGCCAGGTTTGGCTTGGAGTTGCTCTGCTTTCTCAGTTTTATTTCTACTTCTCCATCAAGAATTTGAGGAAAATCAAATTCTAGCATTACCCGGCTTTATGCTAGTAGCTCTTGTTAATAAAGAATCATTGATTAGTGCTTTACTGTGTGGTAGGTCTAGGTCAATACTTTAGATGCATCAAGTACATCTTTTAATCCTCACAGTTCCACTATGCAAAAGATATTATGGTATCAATACCTTGAATAAGAGGATTCGCACTGAAAAGATTAAATAACCTCACTCCAGTCCTACAGCACCAGTAAAGAACAAAGTTGTTCTTTACATCAACTTTGTAAAGTTTTCATCATTACAGAACTAAATGATGTAGCTGACAGCTTACAGTCTAAATCTGGGTAGGAAAGATATCCATATAAGAAACAGTTGACACATGGTATTCACTGAAGCACTGAGTTATGGCTCCTGAAATCACAAATTATGATGGTTCCTGAAGGTTGACATTTTGTTTTCTGAATTTTGAGGGGCATTGAGGAGGAAAGAACTGAAGTTCTCCAACAAAATAAAAGTTTACCAGAGCCCTCAGTTATAAGCAATCAATAAAGCCAACGATTAAAGGTGTAAGAGAACTCATGGGATATGCTTCCCGTAACCGTCAATCACTCTGTGGCTCACAGACTGCCTTCACATACGTCATGTTAGGCTGTCTTCACTGCGCTGTGAATAGAATTATCTCCACTTAGCAGAGAGGACTGGGCGCTGAAGAAGTCGCTTGCCCTTGTCCCAAGTGATCAACACAGAGTCTGGCCTTCCGCTCCTGTGTTCTCTGCACTGTGTCAATGCTTGTCAAGGCTCAGGGGGAGCCAATTCTAGTTTGGCTACTCTGCATGAGGGCTCTCCTACCTGCCCTTCTTGTTCAGTGAGTCCTGCTGAAGTCCTGCACGTCCATCCGGTCATCTTTACCAACTGCCACGGAAGCTTGCAACGGTCACATTCCATCCCTCCAATCCTTCTCTAGAGAACCAGACATACCCTGGCTGTAGGGGCAGAGAATCAGACACACTCAGATCTTCCCAGCCATTTGGACACTGTGAAACTTTAAATGAGAGAAAGAAGGAAGCTGGAATCAGGTTCTGAGAATCTCTCCACTATCCTAGATACATTTTCTTGCTGTCAGCCTGTATGTGTGGGCATATATCTACTAGATATCAGACACTACATGAGGACAATACATCACCAAACACAACAGAGGAGCTTTCCCTTGGGAAACTTGTCTTCTAGTGGGGAGATCAGATCAACAAAACAACACTCCAGATGGTTAAAAAAAATGCTTTAGGAAAAAAATAGTGATAGAGTTAGAAAGTGACTGGTTATGGATGTTCTCTTTAGAAAGCTTTCAATGAAGAAAGCTTTATTGAGGTGCCAGAAGCAATAAGAGAACCCACCTCACCAACAGACCCTCACTGGAACGGCTTTCCAGAAAAAAGCACACTGTGCAAAGGCCCTGAGGTTAGCTCAGACTTCAGTTATTCAAAGACTAGAAAGGAGGCCAATGTGCTTGGGACAGAGAACAAAAAGGAGTGTGGTAGGAGATGAGGTCATAGTGAGTGAGGGGCCCAGTCCTGCAGTACTGTATTGGGCCATAGAGGGCTGTTGTTTAGGCGTTCAAGCTCCTTCAAACAAACAAACTAAGCAAATATTTTAGGCTTGAATTGTTGAATGCTGATGATACAGACATGAATTAGACAAAGTCTTCATTGTCAAGAAGCTCAGAGTCTAACAAGGAACAAAGGCAAGCGAGCAGGCAGCTGCATCGCAGTGCAGTAAGTAATGTGATCAGGTTAAACACGGGACGCTGTGGTGAAAGACAAGGGTGCTTGATACAGGCCAGGGAGTGTCAGAGCAAGTGACATCCAAATCCGATAATCAAGAAGGTTGGCAAAAGAGGGCTATGAGGCCTGATTGTCGTGGCTGGATCCCCTGGACCCAGATGGTGGAAGGAAAAAGCAGACTTTGGCACGTGGTTTTCTTACTGCCACATATTTTCCCCCTAAAATAAATAAATAAAATATTTAAAAATTAGAAAAAAAGAAGGCGATCATAGTCCAGTAGTGTTATTCCGGTGGAGAAGTGAATGGTATGGTTGAAGAAATTCAGCACAATCTCAAACGTCAGGAGGGCTTCATCCACTTTTGCCTTTGCAGTGTCTGAGATTTAGTTGTTGTTTTACAACATCAACCCTCTTTTAACTTATTAAAATGTCCCTACCAGACAATTTGTAGTCAAGTGAGCACATGGCTCATATCGTATTTCTGGTGGACAGCACTGATTCAGACCAACAATGTAAGGTACAGCTGGGGACTTGGGAGCCTGTATGCCTCGCTGTTTACTATGCAGACGGCAGACAGCACCATCCTTGAAGAGTAAGGACCCAGCTCAGAGCATCCTGAGGACAGTAAGGAGAGGCCAGCGGACGGAGAAAAAGTGAGCTTGCACAAGGCTTTCCACAGAACAGTGCAAAATCTGAGCTTCATCTTGGGTTTAATCGTATAACCAGGAAGTCACCTAGGACTGGAGCCTCGGAGGCCACCCAGACATCAGGAATTGTTTAAAGAGGCCAGTGTGGCTCTCATATAGAACCTCTATTGAAGACAAGAAGGACAGAAGGAAAAACAGCACTTAGTGCCGCATACAAAAACGAGGCAAAGGATCAGCAGAATGATGGATGAGAAAGGAGAAGACCAGGAGAGCAATGGAGGAGGGAGGAGCAGAGTGACAGCAGATGTTAGTGAGACTGGGTTAGCTTGTCTCCAAACAGTAACGAAGAACAAACTAAAAGGGAGAAGGGGACAGCAACTTAGAGACCGTAATGCCTCAGGCTCTCAGGAGCAAATGACCCTCCAAACAGAAGGTCCAGGCAAATGACTGAGTTCCTAAAGGACCGCAGGGTGCTAAGAGGCCACACCTTCCTTCTCTATAAAGATGTTGAGCGGTAATTAATGGGAAGAAACACTCCCTGGGATCATCGGACTGGGCATCGCACTGTCTTTAATTTGGCAGTCAATACAGTCCATGCTGCCAGGTACAGAGCTCCAGCATTTTCATTTCCTTTGATCAAAGGGTGGCTGAACTGAGGGTCACAGCTCTCCAAAACTATCAGGGCAGGAAAGAGGTAGCTAAAGTGCCTCTTTCTCCAGGCTTCAGGGATAATAAGGAAGAAATATTAAGTATACAGAGAATTAGCAAATCCAGGGCACCCCAGATTTTGTATAGCCTAAAATATATATTTTTGTGTTTCCTTATTTCTCTGTCTCTCTCTATCTCTGTCTCTGTCTCTCTCTCTCTCTCTCTCTCTCTCTGTGTGTGTGTGTGTGTGTGTGTGTGTGTGTTTTAACATAATCTCAATGCATAGCTCAGGCTGTCGCTGAATACAAGATCCTCCAGTTTCCATGTCGCTGTGCTGGAATGTACGTGACTTTTTATGGAAGAGAATACCAAGTTATAAATTCAGAGTCCATAGGTTGCTCCCCTTACAAAGGAGGGACCCTGAGTCTTCAGTGCCATTGCCCTCACAGAACATCTAGCTCTGCATCAGTAGTGGTTTTGCTTTGTTCCGCTTTTTAGCCCATCCATCAATCAAACTTGTATCATGTATCATAGGTTATAGGACATGAACAGCGTCCTTATTCGTTTTTGTCAACTTATACAAAGCTAGGCAACCTCGGGACAAGAAGATCTCCATTAAGAAATTTCCTCCATCGGATTGGCCTGTGGACACGATTGTGGGGCATTTTCTAAACTGTCCACTGTAAGTAGTACAACCCTTAGGCAAGTGGACCTGGGCCTGGGGTGTATATAGAAGGAAAAGTAGCTGAGTATAAACAGGAAGCAGCATTGTTCCATGGTCTCGGCTTCAGTTGTGGCCTCAAGGTTCCTGCCTTGAACTTCTGCTCTGGCTTCCTTCAATATTGGGCTGTGACATGGAGTTGTAAACCGAATAAACCCTTTCCTCCCCAGCTTGTTTTAGTCAGTATTTTATCGCTGCAACAGAAAGCAAACTAGAATAGGCAGGGAACATGTCACTAGGGGTGTAGACATGAGACTATAGAGTTGCTGTCATCAAGAAATCTAGCTGCAAGTAGTGGTGTGCACCTTTAATCTCAGCAATAGGGAGGCGTGGGCAGGTAGATCTCAGTGAGTTCTAGGCCAACCTGGTCTACAGAGTGATTTCCAGGACAGTCAAGATTACATGGACAGACTCTATCTTAAAAATATAAAAGAAAAGAAAAAAGAAATCCACTATTTTGTCAGATGCAGTACATACCTATAATCCCAACACTTTTGTGGGGCAGAGCAAGAGGATTATGAGTTCAGTTCTGGGTCAGCCTGGGCTATGTGTAAGACCCTGTCTCATAAAAACAGAAAAAGAAACGAAAGAAAAGAAAATCAAAAGAACAAAACAAAGAAAGCCCACATTTAGAAGAGATAAACAAGAGTGTAGAATTATATTATGAATTCGTGAATAAGAGCTCCAAGCAAAGGATTATGTATATGTACAGAGAGAAAAAGCAATCAAGTCACCAGAAAGTAAGGGAAGGATGGTTGTGAAGGTCCATCTTCATTGTCAACTTGACTAGATTGACACCCTAGGGCCCGACACTCTGGGGCCTGTCTGTGAGGACATTTCTGTAGAGACCTAGCTAAAGAGGAACTATCTGTGGTGCAGTGGTCTGTCACCCCACAGACCAGGCCTCAAACTCAGAGATCCACCTGCCCCTGCCTACCGAGTGCTGGGATTAACGGCATGCTCCACCACACCGGGCTTTTTGAGGAACCTTATACCTCTGTCTGGAGCATTTACAGCCCCAATTCCATACATAGTCTTGAATTTTGTTGATCGAATATATAAAATGGTATACGTTTTGACTATTTGTTGTCATTGCTATTAAAGAGCTAAATTTCTTCATTTTTGTTTGGTTGGTTGGTTAAGGGTTTTGGCTTTTTGAAACAGGGTTTCTGCATCCCTGACTGTTCTGAACTTGCTCTGTAGACCAGGCTGGCCTTGAACTCAAAGATCTTCCTATCTCTGCCTCCTGAGTTCTGGGATTAATGGCATGCTCCACTACTATCAGAGTTAAGGGCTAAATTTCTTGTTTGATGGTTTCCATAGCTTTAGCTAATTAAGATGTTCTCTGAGTAGGTAGGCCTTTTTCCCTACCTGCTTCAGAGGAGACTTGAAAGCTAACAGAGGCAATAACAAAGTTGGAGTCCAGTGGTGTTCAGTATGTCTGCACAACAGAACCCTGGGATTCCCATACACTGGAACTTGCCAGAAGCTGCATCTGAGTACCCTGAAGAGAGCGACTGTAGAAAGAGTCTCAGCACCCGGAAAGCACCAGAGGACGGCAGGCTGTGCTCGGAGCTCGGTTGTGAAGCAGGGTTTGGCGACTTCTCAGCAGCGCCTTCATCATTTGGCAAGAGTTCTCAGGAACTGCAGCTCTGGCTTCTTTGAGATTGCAAACTCAGAGAGGGCCGCTTGCCCTACCCAACAGCATCTACCCTGGTTGTAGACTTGGTGCGGGAGAGTTGTCTGTATTCTGTCAATCATGTTTTAAATAAATGTTGATTGGCCAGGCTGGAGGTGTAGGCGGGAAAAACAGATAGGAAGTGGAAATGATGCAAGGAGAGCAGGAGAATTCTGGGGAGGAGGAAGTTTAGTCCTCCCACTCCTGCCCAGATCACCGAAGCAGCACGATGTGAACTGCCCCACTGAAAAAGGTACTGAGCCACATGGCTAACATAGATCAGAAAAATGGGTTAATCAAGATGTGAGAGTTAGCCAGTAAGAGGCTAGACCTAATGGGCCAATCAGCATTATAACTTATAGAGATCTCTTGTGTGATTTTTCTCTGGGACTAAACAGCTGGGGGGCCGGCAGGACAGAAAAACCCCCAACAAACAGGCCCCCTCATGTTACATAGACTGATGCCTGCTACTTCCTCATCTGCTATCCTGTCAAGGTTAGCATCAGAAAGTAGCATGACTGACTATCCTGGGACAGGTGAATTTGCTGAAGCAGCAACTTTTCAGAAGAAACCAAGGCAGTTGCAGGCAAACTCAGACGTATTCCACTGGAAGCAGCTGAGGCTGTCAGAAAACCAGTGCAGCCTCGGGTAAGTTTCTTTAAAGCTGCACTCAGAGCCTGGTTTTATTTGGAAGGTAATGACTCTGCCGTAGTGTTCTCTTGAATTTGGCAATCAATAATGCATGATTATACAAAAATAGATCTCTACAGCAAGAAAGGGAAGGCTAATAGACTCTGAAAAGGAAGGATATCAGTAAAAGTGTAAATTTTGGGGAAAGGGAAGTCACGATTCTTTATTCTTGTATAAACACAGAGTGCACATCAAGACTATACACAAGTACACAAGGACTCCCAGCACCAGCATTATGACTACCAGCTGGGTTTAAGCCTGTTTCACTTTTAAGGTGGTAAGAATTTGCCACTTTGTAATGATCTTGAGCTGACTCCTGTCCCGCTACTCCAATCATAGACTGAAGTC